TGTGTTCATCAAAGAATCTCCAATGGTACAAGCATTATGGGATGCCAACACGGTGTTTAGGTGCTGTTCACCTCTCAGGTTAAAGTTAACAGTTTGACATTTAGACGGATTAAGTATGAGACCATTAACAAAATGCCACCATTCAACACGAGACAAAAACTGATTCATTTCTATGGGATATAAAGAGGTAGAAATCGGCATACATACATTGAAACTGTCCGCATATTTCACAAAAGTGTTTTCTGTGGAAGATGGCAGATCATTCAAAAAAGAGAAAAAAAGACGGGAAAGAACGGCTCCTTGTGGCACGCCTTCATGAGACAGTAGAGACGTCGAACACTTTCCTCTAAACACGATGTACTGTTCTTTTCCAGAGAGGTAGAAACATAGCCAGTTGGTCATCCAGCTTTCAGTGTTGACGCTGATTAACTTGTTAAGTAAACGTTGTCTTGGTATAGAATCAAAAGCTGAAGTATAGTGCAGAAAAGCGCATCGAACATACTACTTACCCATTTCTAAGTTGAACACTATATTGTGATGCAGAACAACCACAGCATCTAAGATGCTTCTTTTGCATCTGTAGGCAAAGTGATACGGATCAATAAGCTCTTTTATCGCAGGCTGAAGTGGGAGTATTAATAATTTTTCCATTGTTTTGAGGAAGGGTGAAGTTATTGCAACAGGTCTAAATTTCACATTCTTATCACCAGATACTTTCTTGGGTACAGGGATTATCTTCATCTTTCTCCACATTTTCGGTATGAGATTAGATGAGAAGGATCTGTTAAAGATAGTCGTGAATGGATAACATAGGACGTCAGCACATTTTTTAAAAAAGGAGGTTTGGGATACCATCAGGTCCTAAACATCTGGATGAATTAAGTAACTGGAGATATCTTCGGACATGAGTTTCAGTAAAACTAGGAACACAACCATTCTTCAAACTTGTGGATATAGGGAGCATTACATCAGCTGACGTACAAAAGACTTATTTAAGTAACAAACATTCAGCTGGCTAACGCTTCTAATGTGTCTTTCAATTGTAAGTTCTTTAAAGAGTTTCCACATACATGGAGAGCATTTACAAGATAGAAGTTTTTGAGTAAACATAGAGTTGAGAAGTCTAATCTTTAGGTCTATTAGACCATTTAGGTTACTAACTTCAATAGAGTTTTTCATCTTGTACTTTCTTTCTTTCACCCTCCGTAGTTGTTTTAGTCGTGGAGATGTAAGTCGATTGAAACTTACAAAAATGGTTTCCATGGGACAACAAATATCAAAACAGAACTTAAGATAACAAGTGATAACATCAACGGTGTTTTTCAATGAGTCATCTATAAATAATCCCCGGTAGGTGCAGGAAACATGCTTTTCAACTTTTGGATATTTTCCTCTGGGTAATTCCTGTGTTTGACTTCTTTGGTCTGATGTAAGTGTGTTCTCATTCCACACTTTCCATATACTCTAGGTTGAACACGAATTATACACTGGTCCAAGCTAGACAACAGAGCACGTTTAAGAGTTACATATGTACCCACACCATAATTGAAAATTAAGTCTACATGGGCATCTTTACGAATAGGAAAATGTACTACATTTTGGTGGCTTAGGGATCAAAGAAAGCTACAGTCACATGTATTGAAATCACTACATATGATTGAAAATGAACCACTGAAAACAATAACAGCAAATTCAGTGAATTCACCAGCGAAAGCAGATAGTGCAGATGATGTGCAGTCTGGAGTCACGTAGATGTTGGTAACATAAACATATTTGTTTGTATTTAAGTGTTTTGGACGACAACTTAAACAGCCAATGAAGTCGTTTGGAAATTTGAAACATGCAAAAGTAGGTCGACACCATTCACGTTTACAAACGTGGCTACAACGCCGCCACACCTCTTTTTATTGCTTGATAGATCCTGACGATAGATATTGAAATCACGTAGTGATACTAAGCAATCGTCCTGTAAATCAGTTAACCAAGATCCTTGAATTGTGATGACACCAGAATTACGATACATGTTTTGACTTAGTAGGAATTGAAGATAGTTCATCTTGCTAATTAGGGATCGGCAGTTAGAATTTAGCAGTTCAGGTATCGACATATGATTAATGTTCATTCTCTTCAATTTATATTGCCAACCACCACGATGTCACTGATCGCACTTTCTTGTAACTTGTACAGCGAAAGGTCATAGAACTTTCATAAACGCGCCTGAATACGTTATGCGATTAATAGACATATTGAGGTGTTAAAAAAGTTTTAACAGATAACTTGCTGAAATATTCAGATGACAGGAACATGTAGCGCAGATATTCAAGTAGGCCGCCTTCGCTTTCAACGGTTAACTATTATATACAAGGGCTTCTTCTAGCCCTATAAAATTACGTACAGAACATGAAAATAACAGTACTACCCTCAGTGATGTTAATATAAAAAAATGTAATCTGATTACAAATAATTATTATTGATGTTCAACATGCACTACGTGGTACAATTACATTCAGTAGCAAAGAGACTGAACAGTCTTAAAGAATAATAAAAATGTATTAATTAGTTTTTCTAAGACTCACACAGTTTAAAACTTTTAATGAGTTTAAACTTGATATCGACATCTTTTTACAAGCTACACATTTTCCATTCATAAAACAAATTTCTCTGTTTAATCTACAGGTTTTTAATAGTACATAATAACAATTCCTTTATTGGATAAATATAGAACTGCAAAATCTCTGTGGGGACGATGCTAGTCAGCTGAGAACTTCAGTTATCTCATTTAGGTCAGATAATAAGAATGCTCGTGGATTCACAATAGAGTATTTTAGTTAAAACATGCTTATTCAAAAAGGAACTTAAAGCCACTAATCATAGTATATAGTATTGAGGTGTGGAAAGTTTATAACCTACTAACAGGATTTTTTTTAGTGTTCACCAATAACTCCTATGCTAAATTGTTCAGGATAAAAATATGTTTCACCTTGTCCGACTACATAACTTTAAACGAGTCGAACAAGACAGATGCATTTCAAATGACACAAATGTTGCACATCAAATTATGATATCAAGCGATATTAATTGAAGCATCATTGAAGATAAAATTACTATTTATCGATTAACCCTAATGTTAGTTTATGAGAACTACCTGAAAATAATTATTAGCATAGATAATTGAACAATTAAAAATGTCGTAAGGTATTCATGCAAAAATATAGTAAAACAGATAAATAATCTAACAGGGAGATTTTAAGATAAGTCTTGGAAACAAATCTTTATAAACCTGCCATAGTAATAATAATTACGTGCTTGCTATTGACTAAGTACGAAAGTTAGCTACTCAAACTCAAGTGAAAAGCTATGACTGGTGGACGTCAACCATATAGAGTGTGAGATAGTTACCGATCAACAACAGTGCAAGATAGATGCACAACGACACGAATTAATTAAAGTTAGACATGTAAACCCGTGGGTTCCACCACTGTGGTTTAAAGTTTAAGCGCTCACCACGACACCTTAGGCAGTATGTAGAGACTGTAGAGTATATGAGCGAGACTGAAGGTGGTGGTTACAATCTTTGATGGGACTGTTAATGTGTACTGCTGAGGAACCACATACTGGGACGAAACGGCTGTTCAGTACTTCCTGATTTTCAGTTATTGTTTGCCTAAGACACGTTCATTATATAAACTAGAAGAAACGAGATTATGAAATTTCGTGACTGGTGGAGTTAAACTATGTCGATATTAATGTAGATATAACAAACAACTATAAATAACGGCTGAGCAATATCGTTAAATGACAGATCTTCGAAATGGATCCAAAAATCCAGAGGTCAAAGGACAACACACTGACATGATCTGATTCCAATTCCTTATAGGTTGTTATAAATTATCCTTAAAATTAGTTATGTTATCATGATTATTACTTCTACTATCGGACTACTTAGTAAACTTAAATGAAATATTTAACGGACACAAGAATAAAGCAATTACTAGCTTTGAAAACCTAAAGTTATGTGTTGATGGTGATAATTACCAGTATATAACTTTTGAGAAAATATAGCTATCCATTTTAATTTTATTGAAGTCGGATAGCGGCTAGATGTGGAATCCAGGATGAACGTTTCGTCCTGCTTGAGACTCACCATCTAGATTCTGTCTGGATTCCAGTGTTGATATCCACAATGAAACTCGAACCCAGTAAATTTCACTTCAATATGCCCAATCTATCCGCTACTAATTTCAAATAAGCACTGGATAATGCAACGAGAATCAATTGAATTTATAAGTGTTTGCATCTTCCTGTTGGCATTAAGGACTGGAAGTGATCAACCACTTTTTAGAGTATGCACATCTTGAAAAGAGTGCCTCAATATTGTCAATTGATTACACGTATTTTTGTAATTTTGGATAGTGATTAACAGTGGAATGCATTTTGATGTTAGAAGAACAATTGGATGATCATTTGTTCATCATACATTCTTGAAATATGTCACTTTACCTTCGAATAATTTAAATGTCATCTAGAGACTAATTAAAACCAACGAAGATTTCTCTATTTGTTCCACAGTCTAAATCAATTAAATAGTGTTTTCAATTTAGATCAAAACTGTAGAAATGAGATTCGTTTGCCAAGTATAGTTTTATGAATTCAGCCTCAAAACGTGCTTCTCATAGTTTATATCACGAGATGATCAGAGTTAGGCGGCCACTAAAAAACAAGAAGCATTGGACAGATGTATAGTCCTAGAATGAGACTCCTTAGCAGTATAGATAGACAATCCTAAATCGTGGCGCACACCTAACCTTTAGATTACTGGGCCGGCATCCAGCAGTTTACGTAACTACTTTAAACATGCTAGTTGTTTGAGGGCTAGTGATAACTACATGACAGTCAGGACAGAAGTAGGTAGATAAGAGTTTGAACTTGAGACCTAATGGGTGGAAGCTGAAAAAATGCTAAATCACATAAAGGTTTAACAAAAGCATGGAAGTACTCACTTGAAACCCACAATAAACCAACCAACCCCAATCAGGTATTTGATACGAATTAAAGTTACATCCATCAGCTAATTCTTCAGCAGAACATCTGAAGAGTAATTTGTTTAGTTCCAATAAATTCATATTGCCTAAAAGAACTCTGATCGAATTCGGCTTTAGTAACGAATTGTTTCCTGATGGTAAACTTAAAGGAATATAGGCATTTTCACCTTTACCCATAGCTTGACTTGTTCGAGGTTCATATAAACGGCAATCAAACTGTAAATGAAAGAATCAATATTAAGAGAATTTACGATTGCAATAAACTATAACTGGATATAGAAGAACAAGAGATAATGATTGCCAAGTATGTGTTAACGATTTATTTACTCGATGTATACGTAAACAAACAAGTTCAACAATTTACAGAATAGAATATACTATGAAGACAGTATATTGGCTAAAGAGAGTCGATTAAAAGGAATATTGAAAACATTGTTTAATAACCAATTACCAGTGCATATGAAATAAAGATATTATAAAATATCAAACGATACTACTCGATTGTTCTAAACGGAAACGAAGAACATTTCAATTTGCAATTCAGTGTCTTAAAGTCATATGTGAAAAGGAGGAGTAACAGCTTCATTTAGAACCTGTATGGTCATTGTTAAGTAAAAATAAAATATTTCTATAACTTGAAATGATTGGGTGTGTCAACAAGCATCTTGGATGAAATTAGTTTGTTTTCATCAGGAAATAATTTCGAAAAGAAAAACCAGTTGTCAATTTTATCCATTAAAGTGACAAAATATACAACGAAATTACATTTCATTTTGTATGAAATATAATCTGTACAAATAATCGTTGATATGTAACGTCACGTTGCATTAAAACTCCAATGAAATATTTTGTAATTTTGATACCAATTTTCGCTACTTAGTTTGACGAGTAATTCTGGAACACCATTAGTCCTGAATCTCCTTTAAATACAAATTAGTTATTAAGTTATTTGTAAACCTATTGATTGCTCTTGGATATCTTACATCCAAACAACATCCAATGCTAAATAGAACCATTTAGTTTAATGACCACATTGTTACACAATAGATAGAATACAAAGACTAAGAACTAGACTAATACTACATAGTGTCTGATTTAATGTACCCCTTTGTGAAGAAATATCCCAGTTAAGAAGATAGAGACTGTTACATAAATAAAACAATATTTGCTAAAAGCTATATGCATGCAAATGAATTAGGCTTATATGAGTCTTTTCTTAACGCCTCTGTATGCTTATAAGCTAGGATTTTTTTCTTCTGATAAATTATGTAACAAAGTTTATGTAAATTAAAAAAAATTAAAAGATTAGTTGTTGCCGTGCACAGATGGATTGAGCTATGTTGATAGTTGCAGACTGACTGGTTGGGGTCCAAACGATCAACAAAAGCAATGTTTGAAGACGTTGAACGATAGAACTGGTCACAATGGAACGGATCTACTCACTCTTTATCTTGGAGTACTTATAACTTTTATTTTACGAATTCATCCTTTCTTCTCAAAGCATATTTTTGTGCTTAATGTTGTTACAACCAGAAATAGTGTTACTACTTCTAATAATTTCTCATTTATTTTGATAATTTCATCTTACGGTGCTGATATGGTGTGGCAACTTGTGCTGGTGAACATATGTCGCAGGTTCTATGTTGTATCAGTCTGATTAACTGAAACTTTACTTCCAAAATGACTTAGGAACTAGATGTATATTTCATGAACGCATTACAATCTAGTTGAAATTCAACGGTATCAGAATAATCTAAAAACAAGACTCCAGTATAAATCCTCTGCTCGTAGCTTTAATGATTGTGATATTATTGATTTCATATTTTGATGAATTAGTCAAATTCCAATAGTTGAAATACTAATTGGTTGAGATAGTTTGTCCAAAAAGTTTATATGAAAGAAGTCGAATAAAATCTTTTAAAACGTCAGTGCATAGTGACTATTGAAAAGAAATTTCATGTGATAATAGGTTCTCCTTGAGTAACTAACATCTCCCCAATGATAGATACTGGATACAGAATATGAATAAAAATTCTCGGAAAATACCAGTCCTAAAACTGCAACATTTTACTTTCAAACAAGGTTTTATTTAGTCGGTCGTTTAATTATTTAGGAAATGGTTTAAACTGTTAAAATATATTACATCAACAATTGTCATGCATCATTACTAGCTTTTGGTTTCGCAGCTGCGTAAAAATTAATCCGATTTCTTCTTCAAGTACTTGTATAGGTTTGTAACGTGAACAACTGAGAAGCTCCAGTAACCGGCAGAACTTCATCAAAATACACAAATTCATCATGGTCAAGATTATTTTCTCCACTTTTCTTTACTACTGCTAACCATCGCGAAACAGTATCAACTTCAAGAGTTTATGGACAACGAAATGAGACCTTAAAAATTGATTACAACGACTTGCGCCTATATCAGATGACATTGCGCTCCCTGTAAAATAACTGACTTAATGTTAAGATTTCTTGTCTTTGGATAGGATAACAGACTTATTCAGCAATCCAGTAGTATTAAGTGAAATCAGTGCTTTCAAGACTCCTACAACAGATTAAATTTTGATTTTAAAAAATATGATCTCAATATGGTAACCACTTACAACTGAAAACATATCATAGTAAATGATACGGTTTATTGAAATATCCAATCATTTGAAGGTTTATAAAGAGTTCAAATTAAAGCTTACAATCAGAATCATTCATTAGATTTTTTTCACACAATTGTAGATGTATCAAGTGGGGTCAAATTATTTTAACTCACACTTTTTTTTTATAAAACTGCCTCTTAAACGGTGACTGACTATTTGAAGATATTAATAAAATAGAGAATCTTCTGAACAAATGCATGATAATTGCCAAGATCAGTATCGAATATGTAAAGTCTCAAAAAATCCTATAGAAATCAATTTCACTGAAAACTTTTATCACAATAAGGAGGTGATTGTTATAATGACATATTCATCATTTTTAGAGACTAGATTTATGGCTATAACAAAGTGTTGCAAATATAAGACTTTTAATTAATATTCGCTGAAAAGATATTCAAATACGTCCTTTAAGCGTCGGTCACATATCTCAATAATGGGCTTTATTTTTGAAAATGATGCATGAACGCTCAATAACTATGATATAAGAGGGTACTCAAGTAGTTGGTCAGTAGAATTTTTAAAACACTCTTGACAAATGATTGATTTTGAAGTTTTAGGAATAAAATTGTGTAGACTTTTATTATCAACTGTGGTGTTATAGAAATAAAAATAATAAAGAAATAAACAACCACATGTACAAAACTAAACTAACCTGTTGGGACATGAAATTATGTAAATCAGCAATGGCTTGTAGTTGGCTATCATCTAATTTAATTGAAACAATTACAACTGATCCCGGTGGGAAATTGTAAAATATTAAACTATCCACCATAACACCATGTTCATCTGAGTAACTTTCTACGCGAAATGTTTTACTTTCAGTGGCTGGTACATTTTGTAAAATTGAGTAATTCATACACATTAAACCATTTATATACTGGAAAAGGAAAGGGGAAAAGAAATAAAAAATTATCAATATAGGGTTGTGGAGATTGTTGAGTTTTAATTGAGATCATAAGCCAATCAATGTTGGACCACCACTGAAAACCTGGAAGCACTGGATGGCCGTTTTGACCTAGCACGGAACAACTCAGTAGTGTGCATTCACGATCCACAAGCGGAATTCGAACCTAGGACCATAGGTCTCACGCGCGAACGGATAACATCTAGACCACTGGGCCGGTATCTAAAGGTGTTAATGTCTAACTGCAATCAATCCACAATATTGCGCGACCATCTTTCATTGTCTTCGGTGGGTAACTCAGTCAGTCAGCTACAACGTTAGGACCAGGCACATATGTACATCGGTCCAAGATGCCATACCTTATTAGCACAATAAGACGAACACCGGGCTTGCCTATCGTGATGACCCAACTGAACTATATTGACTGGAACATATGTTCCAGTAGGTTCTACCATGCCAGGCAGGTCGATTGAAGAACGGACAACCAGCATCTGCAGCGATGCTGCCTTCTCACAAGGAAGGAAGGGGTTAGAAAAGGTTGACACTAAGAATCTCACACCTCACCTCACGGATTTCCGTCTCCGGCGGTAAGGCCCTTTGAAGAATGGAGCTAACACGTCAAAAACCTCCCACGAGAAAACCGTGCGCGACCGGCCTCAAGCAGTTGTCCCCTGGGCTCTGCGGTCACGCTCCCAGGTCGTTAAGCCCTCATACCCGTAACAGCACACGAGACCATGTTGGTCACATTCAAATCCTTCCTACACCTCTTAATACCACTCTTACCTCCCCGACTAACCCTTTTCACTTCTTTTTTTCACCTCGCACCGCTAGGACAAACAATTTGAGTACGCGGAACGTTATTCCTGGTCTCCTGAAACCACGCTCTAAACTACAGGTAGGAGCTTTTAACATACGAACACTGTGCCAAATAGGACAACAGGCTTCCTTAGCTAGGACTTTAGAATCTCGCGCCATCGATGTGTGCTGCGTCTCCGAAACGCGCATACAGGATCCGAGTAGCGTCATTCATTTGACATTACCATGTCAAAATAAAGAACCAACGCGATTCACAATCCGTGTATCTGGAAGCCCAGACGCTGCTTCTTGTGGACTCGCCGGCGTAGGTATAGGGTTGAGACCTAGGGCAGAACCAGCTCTCTTAGACTGGATCCCAGTAGACAGTCGTTTGTGCGCTGTCCGACTAAACGGAACAATAAGAACCCGGAAAGATAGGGACACTCGTCGTTGCCTCTTCGTCGTCTCTGCCTATTCTCCCACTGACTGCAGCTCAGATGATGTAAAAGATGAGTTTTACAGAAAGCTCTCAGAACTTCTCCGAAAAGCTAGGCGCTCTGATGTAGTAATAGTGGCTGGTGACTTTAATGACCAAGTAGGTAAACTAGGCGGAAGGGAAAGACACCTAGGTGGATCTTATAGCATCGTGGCTCAAAGAACAAATAATGGCGACCGTCTGTTGCAGCTATGCTCAGATAACCGCCTGTTCCTTTCAAATACTAACTTTAAGCATAAGGAAAAACATCTTTTAACATGGCGACCCCCTAATTCGTCCCAACGTTGGACCCAAATAGATCACATCGCTTTCAGCCACCGATGGAGGGGCTCGATAGAAGACTGTCGCTCATTCTGGAGCACATGCTTAGATTCAGATCATGCTCTAGTGCGAGCGCGTATTTGCCTGGGTTTTACTGGACGTAAGAAAGACACTCCATAGAAACCTCTTAGGGTCCTGTTTAATGATAGTCAAACTAAGAGTATATTTCAGGAACAACTAGGAAAACAGTTAGGCAGCCATGTATGTGATGCCCACCCCGAGGCAGCATGGAATGATATCCGAAAAGCTGTGGAAACAGCAGTGATATCTGCTAGTATGGTAAACCGTAAGGTTAGGGAGAAACACTGGATCTCAGCAGCATCTACCGCACTGATAGATGCTCGGAAACTCATTCCATCTGGATCTGAACATAACGAAGAGCGGAGTCAGCTTAAGCGCAAGCTGACAAGAAGCCTACGCAATGATCGCGAACAGTGGTGGGTAGCGAAAGCAAGAGAGATGGAAAAGGCAGCGGCAATAGGTACTAGCAGACAATTGTTCAGACTCGCTAGGGAAACCGATATTAGGAACCCGACTGTTAGCGAAACAATCTTAGAGAAAGATGGACATATTATACATAATCAATCCAGGAGATTGGATCGATGGGCAGAACACTTTAGGGATCAGTTCAACTGGCCTTCAACCACACTCCGGTTTCCCACGATCTCTAGTCAACCTGAATGGCAAGTTAATGTAGGTCCTCCGACTCTTTACGAAGTCAAGCACATGATTATTATCAGTTTAATACATGATTCGATCTAAGTTAGACCATTACTGAAAACCAGTCGTACACTAGGACGAAACGGCCGTCCAGTGGTTCCGGGTTTTCAAATGTGATCTAACATCGATAGGTTCATGATATAAAACTACAATAGGACTGATATGAATTAATCTTGGTTAAGAAAATGTGTAGATACTATGGTCGGTGAGATTGTTAACTTTAAAGTTTTACAATTAAAATCTCGTATCATGACATTTTGAATTCAAAAAAGTTTTTTAATATGTCTACATTCCCATTTGAAAGAATAGAATGAATGTAAAAATATAACTGCACTAGCGCCTCTCTTTTAAACAACTAAATATACGTTTAGACGATGAAGAATACAATATGGACAGAGAATAAAACAGGTTTTCAAAGCATAATTAATTGTGATGATCCAGATTAGGCATGTTATTTATTATCTGATTTGTGTGGTGACTGATTTGAAACAAACAAGATTGGTCAATTCTAATCCAGAAAAAATGTTCCCACAAACATAGGTTACATAGATTCCTGAGTGTTATGGGCACATTACCAACAAAAACGCTGAAGAGTTGTTAGGTCCCGATAAGCATAATGAATGGTAACTTTTGGGATCCATTTATGGACCAATGCTATGAGTATATTTTTATCGTAATTGTTAAATAACTAAACTGTTCATATTCATGTCACTCTTATTATGAGCTTTATTTCGACCTATGAACTATTATTATACGATCTACTATTCTTGATTTATGCCCTGTCTATTAATTACTACCTCCCTCATTCACAGCCACATGTGGCTAATTCTTTTACAAATGTTGTTTTATATTTTATTGGTACGATGTGGTCGGTCTGGTTGGCATATAAACCCAGTATGCTTGAAATAAACGACTCATATCGCAGAGGCTCGGATTGGTGTTCTGAACTTAACTGGCTGGGCTAGTCAGTCAGTCAGGACCAATAAGGACTCTAGACTACTCGCACGTGTTTTACGCGTCATTGGTCCGATCGATAAGTCAATGCTCCTTGACTGGCGGTATCCTTACTTTATAAATTAGCAGGGCGCACAGGCCACAAGTTATCACAAGAGTAAAAGTTCTGATAACAGTTATCTAAATAATTAAAGAAATATATTTTTTCGGATAACCAGCGTCATCAATATGCTTGATGGAAATTGCTTGCGATAATTCTTATTGATAATGACAGCTTTGATGACTTCCATTTACTTGTTGAGTAATTATTCGTTACCTCAATACACAGACAGCAATTCATGCCAACCTGGGTGAAAGTTTTGCAGATAAACAGACAGGTTTACTTCGCTAAAAGAGTATCATCAGTCAGATAATCCTTCTATATCACATTTAGTTTGCAGGGTTGATTCCACAAGGAATTATAATTGATTTAATGATTAAAGCATTTAATTTCCAGCAAACAGGTAACACGTCCGAAACTGGATCTAACTACTTTGGTCTGGGTATCAAGTTATCATCGCTAGCTTCCACATAAAACAATATGATTCAAAGTCCAACATATAAGCTTTTACTAGTCAAGTGAGTTGCATTTACTCAATTACTGTAGTCAATAATTCACTAATCATCAACCGTAAACAGATGGTGACATTATAACACTTTTATTTTGCATTTTTTCCATTCTTCACAATACAAGAAATACCACGGTTTAATGATATTACTGAAATCCAACTTCTCCGTACGATACACAAGAAACAATCCAACAAAAGCTAACATTTTTTGTCTAGTTGGAATTTTAAATTATCTGTTCGTTCATACTGTTTACTTGTGCTATTATTCAAGTGCAGGTCCATTTTCTGCGTTTAAATTACTATAACCTGTTAAAACCAGAATTTCAAAGAGTTTCATACATCTTTGTCGTATAAAATCTGATACTCATTACAACATAAATGAATAAATGGACTAGATTCAGTACGCTAACAATATTTCAACTCAGTGGTTTGACAAGTTAGTAAATATATTAAGTAATAAATGTTTACATTTTGAGAGGCAACGACGACCTTAAATAATTTATGCACTAGATAATTAATCATTTATTGAAACCAATGGAAAATGTCAGTAACATATGGTCGAATATTTATACAAATTAGGCATAATAAATACGATAGTTAACTAAAAATACATTCTATAAATTATCTCTATGTGATAAAATGCCATAATGTTATCATTTTATCATTTAGCACAAAGAAACCTACTGCTAACTGACTTAGTAATAATAAAGTAATGTTTGAATACAAAATGGGCACTGTAAGTGCTCTCTTCGGGTTGTGATTACAATCGAAAGTTAGATCTAAGCAGCACCAATGTAGCTTCGATAAATGCTAGATACATTTATTGTCATCTAGTATACGGCATTATGGCAATCAAAAGCGACCTTTATTTTAATGGGTCAATTATTTTTCGATCAGTAGTCTGTTTACTAAGTTGTAAAAATTAAATATTATATTATGTTTATCCACTAATCGTATCTTCGATATAATCAGCGAATTATCATCTAGAATAATCAGTTTACAGTAAACTCATTAGGTCATAGGTTCAAAATCAGCTCAACCAACTACGATTTAGGTAGCTAAGTTAGCCTACTACACAAATTTACACAGAAAATTAGCTCAGACCTGAAAACATAAATTTAGATTTGGCAAAAGAATTACATTGTTATGTATTATTATAGTGAGACGATAAACAGCGGAAACAACATAATTCATACCTGTGGATTCTTTTTAAAATCTTTCTGTGGTGGATAATCCCCTTTAAATGTCGAGAGTATTTCACATAACAATCTATTCACTCGTCCACCCAACCGAATTGGATGAAATCTGAATGGTGTGGATTAGGTCCAGGATCATGAAAAGCTGTATGTGTTATCAATAGGACAGCTTCACGAGTTTCTGGACAAAAACGTGTCACACCTAATACATTTGGTGTAATCTTTAAAAAAGAATGAACAAATATTAAAAAAACATGATAACAAGTGTTTTCATTGTTATTATATTGACATATTAAGTCAAATTATCGAATGAAATTTTTAACTGATTTAAACAAATTTACCAATTGCCGTTAACGACTAAGCATTTGTACAAAAGACAATAAATGTTTATGAGAAAGATGACATTTAAATAATATTGAAAGTAATGATACACTATACTGCATAGTGAAAAAATTTCTATGATAAAAATAACACTACAAGACAGTATTGTATTTCTTATGGTGGTATTTCATAGGCATAAGATGGTAAATTAAAGGTTTCAAATTTTTAATTTCGTACATCTGTCTAGTTACCTGTGTTGTGGTATCAGAACTTATGTTAAACAAAAAGCTTCCAGTATGAGAGAATTTCTAACACTATACATTGTGTAACTGTGCAGTATAACATTCTACCTAAGGTCCTTCCATAATGTGGATTACATAATTCAATCAGCTCCACAAATCTCCTGTACTAAAAAATAATACTACTTATATTTCGAGTACCGATTCATATACTCAGTTCTCAGTCACACCCATTTTTGCATGGGACGTACTGATAATATTCAGTTTTCTTAAAATGAACAAATAGATGGAGTGAATCTTTGAAAGTTCAGTACTATAACCACTAAGCTCGAATGTTTAAACATTATCCTACTTACTACAGTGTAAATGTTTACAACATATTAGTCAGTCAATCAATCAATCAGTTACAAGTTATATTAAATAAGGAAAACGTTGTATAATCAATGGACGTTTCAATATAATTCATTTTGTAAACAAACGAAAAAAACGAAATAAGTCGTAATAATAATAATAATAAATTACATACTTGGTCTACAAATGTTTCAGAAAATCCTTCAGATGATAACCAACTATGCAGTTCATTTAAAATAGATTTTGGCTTAATTATACCAATATTATAATTGACTTGGTCAGGCCATCGCGAATAGAAACGTTCCTCTTTAACTACATCAATATAATGTGGGACTAATTCATCATAACCACGTGTACTACCAATTGCACAACAAGCAAACGATCCAACTGCAGATAAAGGCAGATAATTAAAAACAGAATGTTTCTCCAATACACTTGGATTATCATGAGTTTGATCATAGAAGACAGCATGTGATACACTCGGATATAGACGACGTGCACTGGCTCGTTCAAAAAATGCTCCAGCAGGTCGGGATGCACCATATCGATGAACTTGTCGACCTAAATCATGACAGTCACAAGCTGATAGGGATTCTAAAATTGTAATTGATTTGAAATAAGTAAATCTTGTAAGAATGTATAGAGAAAGCTTTAACAACTGAAAGTAAATTTTTATTATTTGCTTGTTTATTCTAAAGAATGTTATAGTATAAGAGTGAACCAATCAGGTCTAAAATAATGATTTTAATGGAGATAGAATAAAAAGCACTTACAAAACGTTTGGTTCCTAAGGAAGACGATATTATATCATTTTGAACACGGAAAAATAACCAGAGCACATGGAAAATAAAATGGGTACTTAGTTTATGCATCCAACTGTAGTAGATTTCCGGTACGTGAGATACGGACCTATGAAACGTTTATTTAAAACTTATGGACCAGATGTTAACCGAAAATATTATTGCATACAGATAACTGGAAAGTGGGTATTTCTCCACAAATTTGAATATCATTCACGAAATTTGCAGCAAACAAACGTCTCTTTGTAAACACTGTAAAAGAAGAGCATACCGACAAACTTGAAGCTCTAAAATCTCCTGATACGGCCGAGGGTAGAGAGAGTCCTCTCATATGGCCACGTATTATAGTCACTGCCAGGGAAGTCCGACTCATCTCGTGACGGGGGTGTTCTTTACAGAAGTGAAAGGGCGGAAAGAGAATGCTTAGAGATTAAATCGGGCTGGTGGATACACAGGGTATATTTGGGAAAGTTGGAAAACCCTAATTCCAAACCAATAGTGCACTTCGGCTCCATGATCCAGAGGAGTCGGATGGCATATGAGCCTACCCTTGGTCACCAGCTACCATGAGATTATATCTGGCGTTGTTCCACTGCCTTGTAGGTTGTACCTTTGAATTAAAGGCTAGAAGAGTGCCTACCAAAGAAACCAGCTGTTTTGGACTGAGTACCCGGGCAGTTTCCTGGCCCATAAATAATTATAAACATGATTATTAATGAAGAAAACGTTTTCATTCTCTCTCGTTATTTAAATAAAGGAAATCCGCAACTACCTAATTACGTATAAATCCATCTAACGCTTCTTTATCTTCCTAATTCTTTTTATTTCCATTCCGCGATCACTGTTGATTTTTCAACTCATACAGTACTTCATCTTTGGGAGGAGTTTTGTCCAATCTAGACCAAATCAAGTCAGTGACTAGTCTAAAGTTAAGATGCCACCACCGAATACGTAAACTGAATCAGCTTTCTTGAAACAACATGCATCATTAAACTGATCTCCATCAACGCTTGCATACAAATGGGAAACGGATAACAGACAGGTTTGGTTGGCTTTAGAAATTCTTGACATCGACTTTTTTATTTTTTTAGAAGCCCACATCCAAGACTCTAGTGAAGTATCACACGTTCGCTTCGCATCTGTAGATTAGAAAAGCTTGCTTCACGTGCGTTCATCTGGAGACCCTGTGACATCTCCGTCCGATTCTGCTGGCACTGTTGTCACACTGAGAGCCAGAGCAGAAGCAGCATTAATTGATCTCAAGAAAACGTGTTCGATAAATATTGTAATGTTAGCCATAGACTTTAATGCACAAGTCGAAAATCTAAGCACAGAGGAAAGTCGCTTCGATGGCCAATGGAGACTGATTGGTCGCAGGTCAGATAACGGTGAACGTCTGCCGCAGCCCTGTATAAACAACAACCTGTTTCCAGCTAGAACTTACTATTGGTAGTCATCATCAATGTGCTACCCGACCCCCTCACTCTACATTCAAATTCTGAACTCAAACTGAACACATCGCGATCAGCTACCGCTGGCGTTGTTGTGTACAAAACTATGGCTCATCTTTAGGCACTTGTCTCAACTTTGATCATGCCCTCATTTGCGCCAATCTTATCGTACATCTCGATGGCTAACAAGCTTTTCGTCCCAAACGGATTAATACAATCCAAATGAGCAGATCACCTAGTCTGTTGCTCCACAATATCGATCAGACTGTCCTGCCCTTCATGAATAATGTTGACTAATTGATCCAACAAGACGGAAGAAACCTGCAAGCACCCGCAACCACTAGGCCCTTAAGAATTATTCCCAGATATTTTAACCAAGGTAGCCAACTCCTGATCACTGAACCGACTGAGTTGTTTGTGGAAGTTTAAGAATTAGTGAGTGTCTTAACACCTTGAAATGTAGCCACCGTCCCACAGATCCTTAAAAAGGGCTGACGCCGATGATGCAACAACTATAGACGGATAAGTCCACTTCTGATCGCATCCAAACTATTGGCTTCTGTCATACTATGCAGGTTGTACAAAATCCGTGAAAGATCGACTCAGGAAGAACAGACGTGTTTTCCTTTTGGTTGCAAAGGTACTGTCTATACATTCACCCTCCTCCAAATGTTATTTTCCTTAATATTAGTAAAGCCTTCTATGTGTTTGACAGGATTGTACTCTGGGATTCTCTATTAAAGATGTGCCTGAGGAGCTCATTAACAGCTAAAGGGCTCCATATGCAAACATCTCAGCTAGAGTGTTGGCAGAAACCACCTCTCTCCACTGCTCTATTCCAGGAACGGTTACACAATCTCACTATTCCTCTTTAATTATGCCATCAATGACATTCTGGAAACAATATTGGTGAAGGTAAATGGTGATGTGTTTGTCACTTGAGAAAAAACATTTTGGTTGTCAGCATGTAAATGATATTGTCTTACTGTGTAATGATGCTCAAGCTGTGCAACCTGCAAGTAATCAGTTGGCAATCAATATTCGTAGGTATGGTACGTACTTTGCACCTTCTAAATATAAAGTACTTTTGCAAGACAGGTAGGAGCGTATGCAGGCACCCATTCTTTGTGATGAGCCGCTGGCAATCGAACAGTTTGTGGAACTGAGTAGTTGTGAAAGTATAGGTGGTGGCGTTTCAGATGAGATTAATATACGTTTAGTGGAAGCCAGAGAGGCTTATGCCAGGTTGGTCCATCTGTGGCGCCTTCATGATGTTAGTCTGGCTGTGAGAGGTCGGGTTTAAAAAGTTTTGGTGGGAGCCATTCCGTTTTGTTCCTGTGAAACCCAGCCTCTCCGAATTGAGAATGTTCGGTGATTATGTGTTTAATTACTATTCTGTACAAAGGATTGATAACATTCAGTAAGAATGTTAATTTAGTCAGTACTTGAAAACAGTGATGGCCAACGAATAGAAAACTCATGTTTAGGATGTATCTTGTTGGGTAATCTGAAACATCCACTATTCTGTTTTTTACCTGAATTGGCAATTATATTCCATTCCTTGATGATTAAAACCGATAAATGTTGAATAAATTAGTCACATTATTTATTTCTGGTAACTGATTCGTGCCATTTTAAGATGCATATATGGTCTTTATGACAATCACATACAGTGATAGTAATTCAGTAAGCAACAAATGCAATCGAATACAATAAAGAAATACGAAATAAAACAAAATACTATCATTATCATCCAACAAACTTTACCTCGTATTAAAGAGCTAAGACCTAATTTATTGATGAAAATGTTATCAACATATTCGCCTCCAGTGAATAATTCTGCAACCACATACAAATTAGGTCGTATAGCTCTAGCCTTATCAATCATATATTGTGCGACGTGAAGAGGTGTACTATGACAGTTATCCAATCGTACTGCATGAAATATTTTTGCAGTTAGTTCCGTATATTTAGTCATTCTATCCCAAAGATATGGACTGTCTTCCGGTTTGTCACCATAACTGAAGTTTTTAAAAATTGCCAAAAAATAAAATTAGGTTGCTGTAACCAAAAAACTAAACAGATAGATACGAAAATAGATAAATAAATTCAAGTTAAAGTAAAATTGTTTAGAATGGGATTTTTGTGAAATCATTGGTCACTTCTGACACTACCTACTGCGTTAAGATAAGTGAACTGAACAAACTATTTTGATCAGTTAATTTTGATCAATGAAATATATCTCCATGATGTGATTATCGTACAGTAACCAGTTATCTTTATTTTTCATGTTTAACGTGTTGTTGACTTGACAATTAGTATGATCATATCAGCACAACGATGGATTTTAGATGTAAAAGATTAAGATCGATTTCTGTCGCAAAAATCAGAAGCCATAACTAGGGTCTTGAAGAATCACGGATACTGTTAAGTGAATAAAACTGAGTAAAAATTACAAACAACCGCCAAAACAGTACTATTTATTGCATTCATATAACAGAAATTTTCCACCTACATAAATACATAAATATATTTTATTGAAACTCGATAACCAAGCACATCTTCGAGTTATCTGTTTTGAGTATCTTTATTTTGTGAGGGTTGACGATAACACACCAGTTTTATAAGAGGGAGTTAGTCAGTCTTAATCAATGTAGGGTCTAACACGAATTTCCATCGGTTCGAATCACCACACTTTATAAACACAGATAAAGAAAATTGGCAATATTAGTAGCAGGTCAGCCGAAGCAGTAAAGGTATCAATGATAGTAACAAACAAAAAAACAAAGAGAATATGATTTAAAAAAGGTTAAATAATGGAACAAACTGCATAAAATAATATCGAGACTTAAGATGTGGTGAAGCATAAACCATCCCAACCAAATCGATATATATACAGTGTATCATATAATTCCAGCTGAAATAATGCTTCAAATTTTAAAGTTATAAAACGTTGCGGTCTTCATTGAATTAATAACTCCAAGTGTTAACTAATACAAGAATATATATAGTTATTTACACAAAACACTGAATTGGGTTGCAAATTAGTTATCATGAAAAAGACCATATGAAAACTAATAATTTTGAAAACATATATGTGTACAAATTTATGCAGTGAAAATTCAAATGGGACAAAAATTACCGTAACTTTACTGAGTCACCCCAGACTATAAGTTCACGGCGTAAGTATACAAATGAGCTAGGTTCTGCAAAGTTTTTCAAAGGATCATCATTCATCACCCATCCATTAAAAGCCATAATTTTTGCGGCATCTTTGGTCTCCAAAATTGCTTCAGCTTCTTCAATGGTTTCTACGTCAGGGACTGGATGATAAAAGTACCTATTAAGAAAGCGATAAAATCCTTATGATAACGATATATTTAAAAATTATGAATGCTATCTAATCTCACTCACTGTAACAATACATGGGTTTCGTAAACAATTAACTTTTTATTGCAGTCAGACAACTAAAAAACACCACTCAACAGTGAAATAGTGTAGCGTTACCACATAAACTTAACTTCAAGTCATCAACGTGCCATTATCAGTTTCACCGAAAAGTATTAAACATATACCAAATAATTGGGAAACACTACACTTGTCAGAATTGTGGATCAGTCTTTTAGGAATATGATTCAGACACGCAATTATAGAGTCTAAATTTTGTTGAGATGGAAACAATATTATTAATGTTTAGACAACATAAGTATGAAAGCCTTTTATGTTAACATATAATAGGTTGCCAAATTTTATAACCAATCAGATATATAGTTCCTGTAGCAATATTGAAATGGCTTATCTTGACATTACGATATTGTTTTTACACATAAAAACAAAAAGCTAGTTGATTATTCAGTAAGTGTTATGACTAAAGATTCTACTCATGTAGAAATACATTGACTCTATTCTTAGTGTAGCATGCATACTTAATTTTCTTTTCTCGAGACCTCTTTACTGAGACAAAAACGACATGTTTTCTCCAAACTTCTCTCGAAAATCTACCAATCCTTTGAAATTGTTAAATACTTCAAAAACACCAACTATCCATAGATGATGTAAACAGTGATTAGAAAAATTATCTGAAAGTACATGGTGATACATACTAGAATGGCTTTGAAAATATCATATTGAAATATGTAACATATAGGAAAGTGGAAGAAGTATGCGAAGTGAAGAAACAATTAACTAAAATCCCAACTATTATGTAGTAGGCCTTGAAATAGTTTACTGATGTTCTTTATAAAGAATTGTACTCCTGAAAGTCATGGCTAGAATTCATATAAAAACAATTGTTAAACATACATGAAAAAAAGTATTACAATTTACCGCATATTGGGTGGATTACAAAATGAATATGTTTGAGAGGTAGACTTTCGGTGCACACTAAATAAGCAATCAAACGGAAGGTATATTTAACGTAGAAATTTAAATGGATGCTGGATTAAAATCAACTATCACACATACCATTGTCAGTAAAGAAATCGACAGAGAGAAACCATTTTTTAACGAAACTGTACTTTAATTATCTATAAATCTGACATTTCGTCAATAGGAACAGTTAATTAATTGTTGGAGATGAAACAATTATACAGTATTATCCTTTGTCAAATATCAAATCGATGTTCAAGTGAATTTTATTATGACAGTAAATGTATCACCACTAAACATTTCATCTTTTAGATAAAAACTTTTTAGTAAAACAAAGTGGTTTATATCAAACTTAAAGTTCGATTAGTAGAATGAAATAAGTCTTATATCACACAAGTTAATGAAAGCTAATAAATCAGAAACACTTCATAAATTTGGTTCCAAGCAGTCGGAAAATATTGATGGAATACGAGAAACCAGGATAAAATACGATGAAAATAGATAAGACACTGAAGGAAACTAAGTAACCAGATTATGAGTAATTATTTAGTAACATTGTATCATTTAAAGATAACAAGGTTAAATAATGGATAAAATAAAGAAATTAATAAGAATAGGGCAAATTAACAAACAATATCTGTCTATATTATATTATACCATTATGATATATAAAAATGGATATAATATATTTTAATTTATACACAAATAAATGTATGCAAAATTACAAAAAGATATTGAATGTACTTACGCCCACATAATTGGTGTATCTAACGTAACTTGCTTAAGCTTAAGTCCATGAGGATCGTAAAATCGATAGCGAGCATTGGCCAAAACATTTCCTACAGCAGCTTGCAAATGATGCTTAATTTCATTAACTTGGTCATAATTTAGAGATATTAACCTGACTCGTAACTTTTCACCAGCAGCTTCAGCCTCACTTTCAGAAAGGGGAAGTTCATTCTCATTTTTACCGACAATTTCATGACATGCTACTGAAAAATCAACAGTAGCCCCAAATCGTCTTCCTTTTCTGGCCCCGTCAATTTTCAGCGACAAGTTAGTTTCATTCGGGGAAATGAATGAAGGAAATGTTGCATGTTTTCCTAAAAGTTGAACAAGTAAATGAGCAACTTTAAAGCAACAACACAATATTTGTAAATACCAGAATGTAATTGTCTGTTTTCGTTTTAAATTGGCTTAAATATCCCCATAAAAAGTCACAAAATCATTGTTGAAGGTGTTTTTAGGAAGGCAAAAAAAGCTCACCAGGGAAGAGTAAAACCAACGAAAGAAGATGGGTATCATATATGTTGAATAATTACCTATCACTAGCCATTGAAAAGCTTCTAAAACATAGATACCTATCTTCAAAAAACAAACAAGGGAACTTTTATGTATTAGCGAAATACAAATAGTTTTGAATAGACATCAAACGTAAGTAAAAACTTATTAAACACCGCACTTGGCATGAAAGATAGGACTCTGTTCCGTGAACAAAATGAACGAATTGTGTACATATCAGCCTGTAATATATTTTACGCTGAAAAATCCTATCGTATATTTCTGACTCATAATACTGAACATGTAAGCTACACGAGAAACTCCCTGTCACTGTTGAAGAATTTTAAAACCCATAAATCAAATTCGATGTAGTTATCATGCTTTCTCGAATACTTGTCATTATAACAATGGTAAGAATATCCAAGCTGTTCATACTTGTCACTCCTCGACCCCATTAGATTCTTTTCAACAATCACTCCGGTATCGAATTTCTCACTGCAATGTATACCATTTCCACTCCTTTCTCTGTTCAATCTATCGACTTAATCCCATAGGCCTGTTGTCTGACTCGATTATTATTGAATGATGACGTTAATAAAATACACATCCCGCTTGGCCTCGTACATATTTGCGTCAGTGCATGACGAAATAAAGTAGGCCGAATACGAGAATGAGTTTTCGATACATATATCTCATTCATCTGTAAACGCAGACAGACAGATAAGAGAGAAACTGATCGAAGAAGGCAAACGTGGCATATCAATTTAATGAGGCGTGACTCAATATTTATAGTCAGACAGAAAAACCGACTAAATATATTTGACTAAAAGAGTGAGTGGTAGACCCACACTCATTTACTTAAGCCTGTTACCCCTGGTACAACATAGGCCCCAGTCAGGATGGTCCAACCGACTATGTTTCCATCTCTTCCAGAGCTTTTCATTCAAGCGTGATTCGGTTGATGCTCGTTGTGTTGCATTTCGGGATATTGCTTTCTCCCTTGCGTATATTGAGGCCTACTGTTGCAGACGCTGCTGCTACTCTGGCTAACTTTACCAGCATTTGTTGCTGTGTACAGCATGGAAGGCATAGGGCCACTCGCAAAGTCCAAATTGTCTAGCTGCATCCATCCTATGCACTGCATTTCGTGCTTCCCCTGAGATGTACAGGTCTTCATAATCCAGTCGGCCATCAAAAGAAAGGACGGAAGTAAGCAGACTCGTCTGACAATAGTGTTCGCCTGGAAGACATTTGTGAGCTGGCCTACATGCACGACTTTGCAGTGTAGCATGTCGTAAGAATTCCGTATGATAATGACATGCTTCCTAGGTGCTCCATAGTATCGAGGACGGTTCTACTGGGTCCTTATATCTATGCTGTCAAATGCTTCCTCGTAGTCAAGGAAGCTGATGTATAGTGACCAGTTCCATTCAACTGACTGCTTAACAATCATGCGTAGTGTGGCGGTTCGGTCTGCACACGACCGATCCTTACAAAACCCCGCCTCTTCATTTCGAAGTTGGGCGTCTACTGAATCTTTCATTCGGTTCAACAACACTATTGAAAAGCTTTACTCGTACTAATAGTACTGCGATGCCTCTGTAGTTCTCACAATTGCTGAGATCTCTTTTCTTAGGTATCTCGATGAGGTGTCCTTCTTTTCACTCTGTTAGTACTTGCTCTTTCTATCGAATCATTTTGAAGAGAATGTGAAGCATCATTGCAATTACTTCCATGTCTGACTTTAGTGCTTATGTTGGTATGCTGTCTGGTCCTGCTGCCTTATCACTATTGAATGTTTTATGGAAATGCATACTTATTTGATTGTTGGTGTAGTAACATCTATGGGAAGGTCTGTGTGTTGCCTCAAAGTTGTTTGGGTTCAGCGGGGCTTTTCTACTCAAGAGCTTTTCAAAGTGTTCTACACGCATGTATCCGTTGCCGTTCAATCTGTGATTGGTATACCATCTTTTTTACTGGTCGCTCTAGGTTGCTATATTTCCTTGCAACTTTCTTCGTCGTATTATATAATTGTCTGATATTTTCTTTGCTTGCAGCCTTTCCTGCTTTCGTTGCTAGGTCATATTTCCCTCTGTCGGCTCTAATGCGTCTTTTCACGCGTTTGTTTTCTTCTGTGTATTTGGCCTGCACCTTGGCATTATCTGCTCTTGTTTGGCTGTTGTTAATTACTGTCTTCTTGCTTTTTGAGTCATGCACAGGATAGCGATAGAGATCTATATTTTACGATGGAACTTCTTGTGGCCTACCACCTTGTGGTACGGTGTATTGCTTCCGTGATCCCTTCCTAGTTGTCTTTCGCACACACATGCGCTCATATAATAATAATCAATGTTATAAGCGAATATTTGACAAAAACAAATGTATGTGAAGATAATGACCCAAAAAGAATAAATTAACTGGTCTGTCCAAGACTAAGAATAATTAAAGTAGTCGTGAAATGGTACTAAACGTGATAAGCTCCTTTTTTTAATGTAAATTACGGTAGCTTGTGTCAATATGTACTCGTTTGAAGTCCTTGTTTGCTTATCTATATGTCCGAAAAGGTTTCCAAACTTCAAGGCTGAAAGAATAGCGGAAAGATTTAGGGTAATATTAAACTCTGCTTCACTTGACAAAAAATGGTTATGCTACCTCAACAATATGGACCATAGACTTAGATTATCACAAAATACAATCTAAATAAATCTATGCTACACGTAACTATAAAAATTGAATCATTATCTAACACTACATTGCTCACATTCACTTACATTCCCCAGAGTCGATTGACAAGATTATGAGTCTTCATTGATTGAGGTGGGTAGCTTCTCATTTTATCATTACTAGTACATTAGTGTGATTCCTAAGCTATTCACCATGTGTCACGTTAGTATGACAAATTGGACCGGCTCTACGTTGACAATGAGATGGCTGACTGACATCCACAGTATGATTAAATTATCGTTTTTGAGGTAAATAATGAGACAAGAACATATTTTTGCCTTATTCGCAAGAAATTACGGAAAATGTAATTCGAAGTATCATTTATAATGCCAAAATATGTTGGTATGTAAACATTATTTATGCTTTAAATAATTGACGTCAATGGTGCTGCCGGAAGTCATCTATTTTTGTTTCTCATTAAGATTTTCAGCTAAGACCATTTGTTATAAGTACTGAAAGACGGAAACAAAGTGGGTAGAATACTTTAGAAACTTACTTAACCAAGAAATGAATTCTTTTGATACTATATCAACATCTGCTAAGAAAAACTCATATAACTTCGCTGCTTCTATCTTCTGGGTCAACCAAACTTCTATAGCTGGAAGCTCACTATCTGGATTGTTTAAGATTGCTGGGATACCATAACTTGCAAGTGATCCAGTACTGGCTTCTACTGTTAAACGCCAGACAATATGATCCAGAATATACGCTGGAGCTAAATGAGGAGAATTAACAACGTTGTAAGCGCATTCAGGATGTTCGTGAATCCAGGGGCTATCATTTGAAGTATGATTGAAAACTAAGTCGGTCATACTAAGTACTGCCCAATTATTTTCCAAATGTTTGATAAAGCATTCAATATCTGTCCAGTCCACCTTCTTCGTTGCCCCAGGTGGAGTAAAGCTAGGATTGACTGTGAGTTGATCTTTGAGAGAGTAAGCAGAACGAGAATAGCCAAGCTCCTGTAACGTAAATAGAAATTCAGAACATTCATGTACACTAAGCTAGTGATCAAAAGGTCTTGTTTCATGTATTACCTCTATATCCATGCCAAAATCTAGACTTTCTGATTTAATTTAAAGGATCCGACTCACCCCACCTTCATTAAGCATATTTTACTTGTCAATATTTTTAGGCACTGTAATTAATACTTGCTTTCTGAAATTGACAGTTTACAAGCCAAGAGGCTCTCTTTTCTGCCGAAGAAACAATCTCCCTAACCCACCATACTGGTACTTGTCATTTATTTACTGGTGGCTAGCTTAGGGAAGACGTTTATGGAGTTCTAGTGAGAAGCCGCGACTAGTTTTTTTTACTGTCTCAAACGTGAGGAAAGTACCCACGAAAGACGATAGAAGATGGTCGTGTGGCATTGCGGAATGATTTAAGCTACGTTTGTACACCATTGGATATTGGTCCAGTAATCCGGAGGTTAAGCGCTTAAGTACTAGGCGGAAGATGTTAAGTTTGATCTCCGATGACGAGAGTCGTGACTGTATATTGCTGAGGAGTCCCGTGTCAAAAGGTAGCAGCCGTTTAATCATTCAATTTTTTGATAGTTGCCTAACTTGCATCACTTTGTGCTCTCAATAAAATAGTTAAAACTGAAGACTTCTCACTAACAAATTCATTAAAAACAATCTCAGACGTACTTAATAAAAGATATACAGTGATAATATTTTGTTCTTAGTATGTGATTATAAACCACTTTATTCATCTCGGCTGATTTCAAAACTGTTTAGTTTGCTCGCTTAGAAAGATACCGTTCAGCTTACCTTACATGACAGTACAAAATTGGGGCCAACAAAATGTAAACATCGAAATTCGCCATTAAGATAAAACGTAAAACAAACAATCAAAAGGAAAGCTACTAACTTGAAGAGGAGTAAAATGAATCATATTATAACCACCATTCCTGGCTGTATAAAGTCTTGATTCCCATTCAGGGAATATTCCAAGGTTCTTGGACAAATAAGACTGAAGAACCACGCCACTTAAATCCCAATTTTTCCCACAGCTATTTTTGGAGGGCTCCGTGGCAACCTTTTTACCAGTGAAATCTGGATCAACGATAATATATCCTGAGCCAGCTATATTCCCTTTCAGACATGTTGCGGTTGATGGAGGGCCGGGAGAAGATCCATCTTTTGAAAAGTAAAAGTGAAAAGATCCGCAAACACTTATTTTCTTTAACTCGAAAAAATTATCAAAACAATCCGATTGTTTGCCAGTAAGAGTTGGGTTATTCAAAGGCAGCTCTCGATATTGCAACCGCTGGAATGGAACTCCGGAATCAGGATAATTAATAAAAAACCGGACATTGCAACCAATCAGAGACACGTCCAAAACGAAATGAACCACATCATCTATCCGAAATAAAAGTAGTGTGAATATTAAAATCACTTTTTTTAATCCTAAATAACTGGCCTTCCGTATTCATTCCATCATACAACAAATATTGAAGTACGTTTTGCTTCATATTTGGTAGCAGGAATATCAAGTGGCACTACAGACCCTGCCCCGTAGTTTAATAATACCGAGTAAACAAATCAGCGATCAAGTGTTCGCTTTTTGCAACCTTGAGAGTTTGGAATTAAGAGATCCAGTAAAACAAGTCAATATCCCGGTGATGAGCTTGCCTAAATCGATTAAATTTTTGTCCCCTCTTTTTTTGTTTCAGAACGGTTCCATGTTCTTGATAATCTTTAATTGACAGCAGTCTATCTACTACACTGCACAATTTCTAGTCAGTTTTAAAGTTATTTGTAAGTTTGCATATATCGTAATTTGAGCGAGTGTGTTTCTCTCTAGGCAAAATGATTTCTGGATCATCATTTATCATATTATAACGCAGGAGTTCGATTAGCTGTAATGTGAAGAATAATAAAAACAAAACTCGAGTGCAAGAAAAGACGACTATTTTAAGATGTACAATAGCGTTGTGGACTTCTAGGTGATGTCTCGAGTACATTTAAGACAGCACAAGAAATAATTCTGGTGGTCAGTATAAATCCTCGTCCGAGTAAAGCAAGTAGTAACGTTTGCTTTGGCTCCATCCTCGAATAAGTTTGGGCTGTATTGCAAGCTCTCTGGTTAGCAAACTTAGATAGTGCTTGTAGAGTCGGTTGCGAGTAGATTTCTATGATGGATGTGTGTTGTTTACTTTTTGTGTGGTTGAATGTTCATAAGATAACATTTTGATAGGTCATATTTGTTCTAGGATCCCCCGGTAGCTGAAAAGAACCCAAATTGCCTCCATGTCTCAGTATCGTCAGCTTATGTGAAGGTCGGTGACCTAGTTTCATTTTAGAATTCCTTAATAAAAGGTAGGGAGAGGAGTGATCCCAAATTGATCATCTGTAAACCTCTCGATTTCGAGACCTTTTAGCTCACGTCCACACTTCTTACCTTTATACTGAACATCCGGTTATTCAAGTAGTTTAGAAGCGGCAAAAGAAATGAGTGAATGTAACCATTCTTTGTAACCTTTGCAGTATGAAGTGCATGTGGTGCTGTGTCAAACTCCTTCGTAAAGTCAAGAAGTATCGCATGGACTGGTGTCTTTTAGTCCATGCAGGTCGTCCAGTTCTCATAATGGGAGAAGTTCAGATGTGCGGGACCCGGGTTCTCTGATTCTGTTTCGGTTCTCATACAGAATGCTATTTTTGCCAATGTATTACCTTACTCGATCGTTGATCGGTCCATGAATTAACTTTAAATGCGTTATGAGTAATGCTATTGATCTGCAACAGGTTAGATCTCTAACTTCTCACTTGACGACTGTAGAAAGTGTAGCCTGCTTATTTTCTTTGAAAGTTGATGTGACTCTAGCAAGTGCCTAAACATATGACATGCATTGCTTAGGGACCACATGACGGATGTTTTAGAATCCTAGTGACTCTTAATTGGCATAAGAATTTTATTCTTCATATTACTAACCCAAGAGTTAAGTGTATTTGCTCCAGTACGTCATCTGGCACTAGAGTTGAGGAATGCTCTACGCCTATACATTCCTGATTTGATGGATCGGTGAAGTTGGCATTAAAAACTTTTGTCATGTGTTGGTAAGATCTTAATCCTCGGGACGTTTGAGAGTGCAAGAGCAGAATTCAAAGGCTTCCATCTGGTCATGAACTCATCGAGATATTTCGGACTTGCTTGTATATGAGCTGTCAGTGTGGTCTAGAAATACCTTTCGTCAATCTGAACTTTGGAATTTTACATTTTTCATAATGCCAACCGAGAGCTATGATTGGAATCCATTAGAGAAAATGACTATTTGTTCCGGACTCTCCATCCTGTCAGTAGCATGCATGATGAGTCTTGCGCAATCTAGGTTGTTCTCTTTCCATGTATTTTTACTAGAGGTTCGCTGTGTAGGATAGCTCCTTGTGCAATACCCCTCATTACCTCTCAGTGGTCATTCCCTATTAAATTGCACCCTCTTACTCGCGTAGCCTGCCACAGTGTAGCGAAGGTGAACTTAATCCTCCGAAGTACCTCATTCGTGACCACTTTAAATATGACCATCTCGTGGCTGCTCCTACCTACTGATGATTGGATATGAATATCTTAGACTAAGGAATGAGTGTTTTTTGGCAAACAGATCTATTTCGTAGGGTTTCCTCCTTTAGTCCATTCTCAGGTGTCACTAACATGTTTAGTCAGTCCTGAGCTTCCAATGACTGTGAAAATCGCTTAGGGAACCACCTGCATCCTGACTGTTGAAATGTGGAGACAGTATTGAAATCCCTGGCTATGAGCATCTGGTTAAATCCTAATTCTAGTAGTTGCATTAGCACCTGAAGCTTCTTATCTTTTTGACTGCTAGTACATGTGCTGACAACTAATAATAATGTATATTTATGACATAACGGGCACACGTCATTTTTACAGGCACGATCAATAGTAATCATTACTAATGGCTTTATTCAACTTTAGTTTACAGAAGACGTACTGCCGAACCAAGGTTATTAAAGAGATAACGTCAGTGAAAATTTATAACAGAGCATTCGTGCAGATATACCAACAGAATAATAAATGGGTTTGTATGTAAGTACTGTACCATGAGTCATTTGATTTTATAGTAATAATAATACTGGAAATTTATTCCTAAATAGCAATATGTTGCACGAGTCATGTCGATCTACAGGTAATATCATGTTACAAATGCTACAGAATTTATTATAATAAGTTACTAAGTTTAATATATCACAAGACATTCGAGTCATGAGGTTAGAGAAATAAATTTTCGTACGTAAGAATGTAAATAACGTTAGTAAACCTTGAATGTTTAATGTAAAAGTTGACGCACTCTAAAAAAGCTTGGTTGCAATGATTAACTACTGAATAAGAGAAAGAGAATTCAGAGAAGAAAATTTTCTTTTCGACGAAATCATTTACTTAAGCTGTACATTCGTATATATAGTTATATGGAAAATGTATGTCTATAGAAGGATAGAATGGATTGTATCACAAAAATGGATTCGACAATAAATAACAAATGAGGTTACGTACTAATCAAGGGGTAAGGAAGAACAAAATTTAAGGGTCAGATAATAGTCCAGTTGACAGATATGAAGAAAAACGACAAAACAACAAAGGTTACAATAATAGACTGAATAATAATCAAGAAAACTTGTAAAAGGTAATAATAATAAATGATTAGAGTTTAAAGTGCAAAATGTAATAATAAAAGTGCAATAAAAAAATATAAAAAAACACCTAGAAACATACCCATTAAGGGAATTAGGGCCAGGGTAGGATGAGAGGTTGGACAAATCGTTTCTGCACGCAAAGTTCAGGCTTTAGTTTGTGGATTGCCAATGCCTCTGCGGTGCATAAAATATTGATTCGAACCCCCTTCGATTCCGTTCCTTTGACTCTGTAAACTATTTTAAACGAAGAGTCTTTTGGAGCGATATGTCCACAGTTGATTAAGTGCTCCTGTATAGAACTCGTGATTGTTTTTCGCTCCCCTTTCAAGAGCCAAGCCGGATAATGTTCAGAGATGCGTTTGGATAATGATCGCTTTGTGCGGCCTATGTAACATGCCCCACATGATCAAGTAAATTTATAGATACACATTGAAGTGGCCCAAGGCGAAAGTTTGTCCTTAACACACCCCAGAATGGTAGGTCGGCTAGAGAAGGTGATTCGAAGCTTCGCTGCGTGGAATGTTTTATTCAATGATTTCGAAATCCGTTTATTTAGGATTTCAGCAGCCGTATCTCCCTTAAATTCCATATTCATAAATAGAGTTTTTTTCTCTACTGTCAATGCTTTGTCATGAGGTCTAGGTACCAAGTTTCTATCGATGAATCTAGGTGGATAACCATTTTTGATGAGGATTTGTCGAAGATAGAATAGTTCCCCATCTATTGTGTCATTGGAACAAATTCGTCTGATCCTTGAGGATAAAGAATGAATTAAATTCCTTTTTCTAACTAATGGAACCCAACTGTGGAAGTTCGTGTATTGTCAAGAATTAGTGCAAGTAAAGTACAGAGCTGTTTATAACAAGAAGCCATGCGGTAAATGGATAATCGGATATCTGAACAGGTCGACTTTAACGTATCACTTTGTTCTGCTTAATAGTTTCTTCCAGATGATAAATGTAACAGGCTTCTGATAAAAAATCTATACATCTTCCTGAAATATTGCGGATATCATCTAGTGCAAATATGTTCCACATACGCGGTTTTCGGTGGTGTTTCATGACGGCGCTGAGAAAGAGAGGGAAACAGAAAAGGACGAGAAGCAGATCGAAGAAGTGTTTACGAATGGTGTAATTGAGTTATGGAAAAGTATAGTTTAATAACTGCCTGACTAGACCTTCGAATGGAAGGCGGCTTTTGGATGACCGTGGAAATGCTCCAACGACCCATTAGCCTGAGAGTGATATGCAGCTCAGTGTATTCATATACCTTTTGGAAGTTTCGATAAGTTGTTGAGTAGCTTAGACTTCCATTGGATTCCTCATTTATTGTTGTTGTGACAGTGGTACCAAAAACATTCACCCAGTCCTCAGTAAAAGTCTTGGCCATTTTCTCAGCTTTAACATCCACCAACTTTAGCTGTAGATATATTTTCCAGTGATTTATGATCTGTTTAGGCAAATAATATTCAACTCTTATATATATGTCGAAAGCGTTTCATCACTAAGTAAATTGTAAGTCCCCGATGGAAGTAGAGTATCTAGTCTCTGTGAGGGCTATTCTTTTTGGGAATGCAGTCAGTTACCAGTTGATTAAAGGCATATCCTACCGCTTTTTTGAAGTGTCGACCATTTTAGGAGTGCTGACTTGGGATCCAAACATGGTAACGCAGATGCTTGGAATAGTTTATCCTTTCGTATGTTAAGTCGCAATAGCTTCAGACGTCAGCTCGGAAGCTTTTTGTTTTTCCTTAAGAGGACCTGTAAACTGCAGCACTTGTTGTTCACGTCTTCGAATCGGCGATGGAAGTAAATTAAACCTG